CATGCTTCGATTCCCGAATATTACCATTAGCTGATAGTAAAACAAGGAAATTCATCAAATTTTTAAATTCTTGTATTTTTCTCAATATTGATGCATCTCAGAGCAAATATACAAGAGAGCAATATTGTTAAGAACAAAATTTGCAACAACTTTTGTTCTAAAAGTTTTTTGATAACATACTCCGTTTCCCAAATATTACCATTATGCAATAAATGCAATAAATTCATCCAATTTTTAAATTTTCGTATTTTTCTCAATATTGACTCATCTAAGAGCAAAAATACAAGAGAGCAATATTGTTAATAACAAAATTTGCAACAACTTTTGTTCTAAAAGTTTTTTTATAACATGCTCCGATTTTCAAATGTTACCATTAGCTAATAGTAAAACAAGAAAATTCATCAATTTTTGAAATTTTCGTATTTTTCTCAATATTGACTCATCTAAGAGCAAAAATACCAGAGAGCAATATTGTTAATAACAAAATTTGCAACAACTTTTATTCTAAAAATTTTTTGATAACATACTCCGATTTTCAAATGTTACCATTAGCTTATAATAAAACAAGAAAATTCATCAAATTTTTTAATTTTCGTTTTTTTCTCAATATTGACGCATCTAAGACCAAAAATACAAGAGAGCAATATTGTTAACAACAAAATTTGCAGCAACTTTTGTTCTAAAAGTTTTTTGATAACATGCTTAAATTCCAAAGTGTTACCTATAATAGCTGGAAAGAGCAACAAATTTATAAAATTTTGATATTTTCGTATCTATCTCGATATTGACGCATCTATGAGCAAAAGTGCAAGAGAGCAATATTGTTAAGAATAAAATTTCCCATAACCTTTGTTTCAAAAGTTTTTTTGTAACATGCTCCGCTTTAACGTCCATAACAATCATTGTAATGAAGGAATTGAGGTTGATTTGCCTTTAAGGAAGGAGATAAATTGTATAGGAGATACAATTACCACAGAGTATGAATTAAAAAAGGCTTTTTTGCAACAATCTGAGGAATTAAAAGTGGTTAAAAAGAAATTGGCGAATAGCGAGGTGAAAATAAAAGAGTTAGAGGAGGAAATTAGGAGGTTAAAATTAATTAATTAAGTTTGGGTTAATTTTTTCTTTTTTTTGTTTTATTCTGTTACCATTTTGTACTTTTTTTTGTAATTATTATTATTATTGACGATTATCTTGTGATACTTAATTTTATTTTTAAACTTTATCAAAAAATAAATAAATAAATAAAAAGCTTGGGCGGAATTAAAACATTTCTAGAAGTGCTTGTACAAAAAAAAAAATAATTAAAACACAAATATATAACAAAATATTCATTAAGATGTAATAAATATATTTTTGCAAAGCTTTTTGAGCGAGTTTAATCGACCCTTTTTTTGAAAAGGGGTCGTTTGGCTTTTAACAAAGTTCTAATTAATTTTTAAACGTAATTCTTTTTATATTTAAGTTTAAAAAGGCACAATCAGTATTAGATGTATTTAGAAATATCTTTATTTACTTTTAAATGTACGTACAAAATATACATTTTTAAAAGAAATAAAAAAAATTAATAAATAACTTTGTTTTATTTCCACCAACTAAGTCATATCAAATCGTATATAGATCATTTTAGAGCTTGGTGTGCCATAAATAAATTCTTAATTCCCATAAATGTAGTTGTAAAGATTTTTTTAATTAAACTCAACTTCATCCAATTTTGATATTTTTATATTTATCTCGATATTGACGCATCTGAGAGCAAAAATGAAAGAGAGCAATATTGTTAAGAACAAAATTTGCAACAACGTTTGTTCTAAAAATTTTTTGATAGCATGCTTCGATTTCCAAATGTTACCATTAGCTAATAGTAAAACAAGAAAATTCACGAAATTTTTAAATTTTCGTATTTTTCTCAATGTTGACGCATCTGAGAGCAAATATATAAGAGAGCAATATTGTTAAGAATAAAATTTGCTATAACTTTTGTTTCAAAAGTTTTTTTGTAATATGCTCCGTTTCCCAAATTACACCATTATGTAATGAATGCAATAAATTCATCCAATTTTCATATTTTAGCATTTTTCTCGATATTGACGCATCTGAGAGCAAAAATGAAAGAGAGCAATATTGTTAAGAATCAAATTTGCTATAACTTTTGTTTCAAAAGTTTTTTTGTAATATGCTCCGTTTCCCAAATTATACCATTATGCAATAAATGCAATAAATTCATCCAATTTGGTAATTATAAGATTGATTAAATCGTATCTCAGAAACAAATTGCGATATCACAGTGAACTCTACGTCATATTAAAGCTAACTTAACGTATTTTTAGTGTGCCATAAATAAATTCTTAATTCCCATAAATCTTGTTGCAATGATTTTTTTAATTAAACTTTACACGATTAATAAATTTTGATGTATTACCACAAATGTAAGGTATCGTATCTCAAAAACTAGCGGGGGTATCGTGATGATATAAGAAGCATTTTAAAGCAAATATAATCTAATTTTAGTGTACCATAAATAATTTATTAGTTTCTATAAACTTGATTGCTACGATTTTTTGAATTAGACACTGTTCATTTTGGTAGTCATAAAATTGATTAAATCGTATCTCAGAAACCAATTACTGTATCATAGTGAGATATACGTCATTTTAAAGTTAAGTTAATGCATTTTTAGTGCGTCATAAATAAATTCTTAATTCCCATAAATGTAGTTGTAATGATTTTTTTAATTAAACTCTGCGCGATTAATAAATTTTCACTTTAGCTTGAAGAGCTAAATCTTGACATTGACGCATCTGAGAGCAAAAATGAAAGAGAGCAATATTGTTAAGAATAAAATTTGCTATAACTTATATTTCAAAAGTTTTTTTGCAATATGCTTCGTTTCCAAAATTTTACCATTATGCAATAAATGCAATAAATTCATCCAATTTTGATATTTTTATATTTTTCTCGACATTGACGCATCTGAGAGAAAATATATGAGAGAGCAATATTGTTAAGAACAAAATTTGCAGCAACTTTTGTTCTAAAAGTTTTTTGATAACATGCTTCAATTCCCGAATGTTACCATTAGCTAATAGTAAAACAAGGAAATTCACGAAATTTTTAAATTTTCATATTTTTCTCAATATTGACGCATCTGAGAGAAAATATACGAGAGAGCAATATTGTTAACAACAAAATTTGCAGCAACTTTTGTTCTAAAAGTTTTTTGATAACATGCTTCACTTCCCGAATGTTACCATTAGCTAATAGTAAAACAAGGAAATTCACGAAATTTTTAAATTTTCGTATTTTTCTCAATATTGACGCATCTGAGAGTAAAAGTGCAAGAGAGCAATATTGTTAAGAATAAAATTTGCAACAACTTTTGTTCTACAAATTTTTTGATAACATGTTCCGATTTTCAAGTGTTACCATTAGCTAATAACAAAACAATAAAATTCATCCATTTTTTAAATTTTCGTATTTTTCTCAATATTGACGCATCTGAGAGCATAAATGAAAGAGAGCAATATTGTTAAGAATAAAATTTGCTACATCTTTGTTCTAAAAGTCTTTTTGTAATATACTCCATTTCCAAAATACTACCATTACGCAATAAAAGCAATAAATTCATCCAATTTTCATATTTTAGCATTTTTTTCGATATTGACACATCTGAGAGCAAAAATGAAAGAGAGCAATATTGTTAAGAATCAAATTTGCTATAACTATTGTTTAAAAAGTTTTTTTGTAATACGCTCCGTTTCCCAAATTATACCATTATGCAATAAATTCATCCAATTTTAAAATTTTAATATATTTCTCGATATTGACGCATCAAAGAGCAAAAATGAAAGAGAGCAATATTGTTAAGAATCAAATTTGCTATAACTTTTGCTTCGAAACTTTTTTTGTAATATGCTCCATTTCCCAAATGTTACCATTATGCAATAAATTCATCCAATTTTCATACTTTCATATCTTTTTCGATATTGACGCATCTGAGAGCAAAAATGAAAGAGAGCAATATTGTTAAGAATCAAATTTGCTATAACTATTGTTTAAAAAATTTTTTTGGAATACGCTCCGTTTCCCAAGTTATACCATTATACAATAAATTCATCCAATTTTCAAATTTTAATATTTTTTTCGATATTGACGCATCTGAGAGCAAAAATGAAAGAGAGCAATATTGTTAAGAATAAATTTTGCTATAACTTTTGTTTCAAAAGTTTTTTTGTAATATACTCCGTTTCCCAAATATTACCACTATGCAATAAATGCAATAAATTCATCCAATTTTCATATTTTTCTCAATATTGACGCATCTCAGAGTAAAAATGGAAGAGAGCAATATTGTTAATAATAAAATTTGCTATAACTTTTGTTTCAAAAGTTTTTTTGCAATATGCTCCGTTTCCCAAATATTACCACTATGCAATAAATGCAACAAATTCATCCAATTTTCATATTTTCATATTTTTCTCGATCTTGAAGCATCTGAGAGCAAAAATAAAAGAGAGCAATATTGTTAAGAATAAAATTTGCTATAACTATTGTTTTAAATTTTTTTTTGTAATATGCTCCGTTTCCCAAATATTACCATTATGCATGTTGCCTTATTTCAATCAAGAAACGAGCTTTTATTAGGTTATCTGAGCAACACTGTGTTTCGCTCTTTATTTTGAATTAATATTGTTTTTTAACATCGATATAATTTAAGAAACTTATTAACTTTAATAAACTCCATTAAAAAAAAATAAATTTTTAATAATCAGCGCCATCTATGAGGCGGGTGGCGAAGCTTTGTTTTACCGATTATACAGATTTCTTTACCAATTTGCAGTATTTTGACGAAATCGCACATTTTTAAATTGAATTCAAATTGAATCTAAATCTAAAAAGTAATGTAACAGTTACATATCTTTTTACGCAAAATTTAAATAAAATCTCCATAGCAACCGTTCAAACGACGTCTGCGCCTCGCAACCAAACAAAATCCGTTTAGTCAGTTGCCTACCATACAACTCACAGCCTACTTAACATCTTAAGGCGATATTCTTTTAGGCGTGGTATTTAAAGCTGATTCACCTCATTTTTAATCAACAAAGTTTTAACAATGTTTTTTGAACAACACCGAGTTATAATTTCAACAATTTTAGTGGGATTTTTAATCGAAAATTGTAAGTAAAAAGAGTTTTTGTTTGTTTGTATCGAACATTTTGACATTTATGACATTTTTGACAGTTAATTTTAACAAATGAATAATATAATTTGTGAAAGTAACCTTTTTTTAGGTTACTTTATTAATCAATTCGTTTTATGCACGATAATTTTAGTTCAATGTCAAGTGGATTTTACTTTTAGTCAGCAATTTTAGAAAAAATCGAACGAAACTTAATCATCTCTCGTTGTTTAAGGTTAACTTTAAAGTTTAAATTTAACTAAATAAATACGAAGGAGGAGGTGAATTTAGGATTTAAATGAATTATTCATTACTTACCGCAATTAAATTCCAAGTTTCAAACGGCTCTAAACTTGATTGTTTACTTTTGAGTGCGCATGCGCTGAATTATTCGCATGTTTTTTTTTAATCTTTTGTTTTTTCTTTGACAAGTTAAAATTGAGGTTAGATTTTTATTTGTAATTTGCTTCTATTATATTTTTTAATAACTTTAGGTAAAAAATACAATCGATTAAATTGACAGTTTCTCCTTTAATAATTTTTTTTTCATAATTTTATTAATATTACCGCATAGTTTTTATATCATATCATAAACTGCAATCATTAAGCTTCAATTTAACATACAAATCATATCATAATTCTTAAAAATGCAGATGCTATGATTTTTTGAATATTTCGTATAATTCTTGATTCATAAATTTGACAGTTTCTTCTTTAATAATTTTTTTTTCAAAATTTTAATAATATCATCTTATAACTTTTATATCATATCATAAACTAGAATGTTTAAGCTTCAATTTAACATATAAATCATATCATAATTCTAAAAAATGCAGATGATATAATTTTTTGAAAATTTCGTATAATTTTTGATTCATAAATTTGACAGTTTCCTCTAATAATTTTTTTTTCAAAATTTTAATAATATCATCTTATAACTTTTATATCATATCATAAACTACAATTTTTAAGCTTCAATTTAACATACTAATCATATCATAATTCTAAAAAATGCAGATGATATGATTTTTTGAAAATTTCGTATAATTTTTGATTCATAAATTTGACAGTCTCCTCTTTAATAATTTTTTTTTTCAAAATTTTAACAATATCATCTTATAACTTTTATATCATATCATAAACTAGAATGTTTAAGCTTCAATTTAACATACAAATCATATCATAATTCTAAAAAATGCAGATGATATAATTTTTTGAAAATTTCGTATAATTTTTGATTCATAAATTTGACAGTTTCCTCTTTAATAATTTTTTTTTAAAAATTTTAAGATCATCTTATAACTTTTATATCATATCATAAACTACAATCTTTAAGCTTCAATTTGACATACAAGTCATATCATAATTCTTAAAAATGCAGATGATATGATTTTTTGAAAATTTCGTATAATTTTTGATTCATAAATTTGACAGTCTCCTCTTTAATAATTTTTTTTTCAAAATTTTAATAATATCATCTTATAACTTTTATATCATATCATAAACTACAATCTTTTAGCTTTTATTAACATACTACAATTTAACATACTAATCATACCATGATTCTTAAAAATGCAGATGATATGATTTTTTGAAAATTTCGTATAATTTTTGATTCATAAATTTGACAGTTTCCTCTTTAATAATTTTTTCTTAAAAATTTCAATAATATCGTCTTACAGTTTATATATCCCATCATAAACTAGAATCTTTAAGCTTCAATTTAACATACATATCATATCATTATCCATAAAAATATAATAGATATAATTTTTTGAAAATTTCTCTTTTATTCATAAAATTGACAATTTCTTCTTTAATAATTTTTTCTTAAAAAGTTTAATAATATCATCTTACAGTTTCTATATCATATCATAAACTAGAATCTTTAAGCTTCAATTTGACATACATATCACATCATTATTCATAATAATACGGTAGATATGATTTTTTTTAAATTTCTCTTTTATTCATAAAATTAACAATTTCTTCTTTAATAATTTTTTCTTAAAAATTTTAATTATATTATCTTAGTTTTTATATCATATCATAAACTACAATCTTTAAGCTTCAATTTAACATACGAATCATATCATAATTCTTAAAAATGCGAATGATATGGTTTTTTGAAAATTTCGTATTCTTTTAGATTTATAAATATGACAATAATAATAATAATTTCTTCGGGAATCTTTTTCTCCAAAAATATATCATCAAACCCAATATTTTTTTAATCCTATCTTAAAATACACTCTTTTAGCTTTAATTTGAGATATTTTACGTATCATTACAAAAAAAATTAAAGGGGGAAGGTTTTTTTGAAATTCTTATGTCATTGCTAAATCCCAATTTTGGCATTTTTTATTAAAAATTTTTTTTCTCCAAAACTATATCATCAAATCCCATATTATTCTGATTACATCTTAAACTAGACTCTTTCAGCTTCAATTTGAGATATATTTCGTATCTTTATTCATAAAATTGAATTTAAGGCGATTTTTTATATTTTTGTTAAATTTTAAGATAGCCCAATTTTGAAGTAATTTCTTCGGTTGTCTTTTCCTCCAAAAATATATCATCAAACCCTATATTTTTTTAATTCTATCTTAAAATATACTCTTTTAGCTTTAATTTGAGATATATTACGTATCATTACAAAAAAAATTAAATGCGGCATGGTTTTTTGAAAATTTCGTAATTTTTTTGACAATTTCTTCTTCAACAATTTATTCCTGGAAATTTCATTAATATCAGCTCATAGTTTTTATATCATATCATAAACTACAATCTTTAAGCTTCAATTTAACATAAAAATCATATCATAATTCTTAAAAATGCTAATGATATGGTTTTTTGAAAATTTCGTATTTTTTTAGATTTATAAATATGACAATTTCCTCTTCAATAATTTTTTCCTGAAAATTTCAATTATATCATATTACAATTTTCATATCATATCATAAACTAGAATCTTCAAGCTTTAATTTAACATATATTTCATATCATTATACTCTTAAAAATGCAGATGATATGATTTTTTGAAAATTTCGTATAATTTTTGATTCATAAATTTGACAGTTTCCTCTTTAATAATTTTTTTTTCAAAATTTTAATAATATCATCTCATAATTTTTATATCATATCATAAACTACAATTTTTAAGCTTCAATTTAACATACGAATCATATCATAATTCCCAAAAATGCAGATGATATGATTTTTTATTTCTTTTTATCACATTTTTTAACAGCTTTAGCAATAAATTGTTATCAATGCGCCAGCACCAACACAACCAGCCCATTCCAATGCAACGAATACCTCAAAGACGCCGATATTTTAGCCGAATCTTGCGATGGAGTCCACGGAGCTCGGTACTGTGTTAAACACACAGGGAGGTTCGAAGGTATCTTTCCAAACGAAACCAGAAAAACCTCAAAAATTACAACAACTAATTTTAATTCTAACTTAACTCTTTTTTAACCAACTTAATTAACCTCGTCTTATTCTTTTAATCTTTTCTTAACGCTGCTTGGATTAAAATTAACACCAGCACTCGCAATTAATTGTTATCAATGTTCTTCTTCAAAATCCCTCGAATGTTCTGATGGAATGATTCACATGAACAACTTGGAGTTGACCCCAACGAGTTGCGATCACGTTTTTGAAGCGCAATATTGTGTTAAATCAATTAGTTTAGAGGGTAAATTAACAAGAACTAACACGTTAATTATCTTATTTAATATTTTAAAATTTTATCTTAGAAATGACTTAATTTATTTCTAATTTTAGGAGGAATTGGGACGAAACGGTTTTGTTCGTCGCTCGATTTGGGTAATTATTGCAACTTTGTGCAACAACCTGGTGATAAATTGCAGTATCGAACTTGTATTTATACATGTACGAGAGATGGTTGTAATTCTGGGGAGAAAATGAGATCGAATTTGGTGATTTTGGGCAGCATTTTGTGTTTAATTCACGTCTTGTATTTTAGATAGATTAGATTTATTATTTTTTTTTATCTTTTGAAAATGTATACTTTGAACTTAAAAGAGAATAAAGATGTTTGTAAATATAAATAATATTTTATGGTTTTATTAAAATTGATGATCATCTTGATAAGCATAATGGTAACATTTGGGAAACGGAGCATATTACAAAAAAACTTTTGAAACAAAAGTTATAGCAAATTTTGTTCTTAACAATATTGCTTTCTTGTATATTTGCTCTCAGATGCGTCAATATCGAGAAAAATACGAAAATATGAAAATTGGATGAATTTATTGCATTTATTGCATAATGGTATAATTTGGGAAACAGAGTATATTACAAAAAAACTTTTCAAACAATAATTATAGCAAATTTTATTCTTAACAATGTTGCTCTCTTTCATTTTTGCTCTCAGATGCGTCAATATCGAGAAAAATACGAAAATATGAAAATTGGATGAATTTATTGCATTTATTGCGTAATGGTAACATTTAGGAAACGGAGCATATTACATAAAAACTTTTCAAACAATAGTTATAGCAAATTTTATTCTTAACAATATTGCTCTCTTTCATTTTTGCTCTCAGATGCGTCAATATCGAGAAAAATACGAAAATATGAAAATTGGATGAATTTATTGCATTTATTACATAATGGTAACATTTGGAAAACGGAGCATATTACATAATAACTTTTGAAACAACGTGTACATTTATTATTTTTTTTACCAGTTTTTAGGTTCAAGCCAGGAATTCTCAAAATTGATTATCATCTATGTTAAATTCTGTTATAAGTAAAAAATTAAAGGTGATAGAGAAAAACGTTTCCCATAAAAATTGATGATAATGAATCAAGATAACGTAATTCATAACCATAGTGTATTGTCTTAAGATTAATTTGATGTAAAAATCATCCCAAGTACAATTACACCAAATTTGTCGAAAAACATTTAAATTTTTCACTTTTCGATAACGAAATTAAACGTGTTCATCTCTATTCCAAACAATTTTAGATTTACTTTGATATATAAATCAACCCTTAAGTCCTTTAAGTATGCCAAGTCCCATTTTTCAAGTTCTTTTTTGATTTGTTATAAAGCTAGGTGATTATACAGAGTTAAATTTAAAAAATCATAACACCAATGTTTATGGAAAATAAGAATTTATTTATGGCACATTCAATCCTTATTAAATTTGCTTTAAAATGTTTCTTATTTAATGATATCTCAATTCGTTCTTGAGATATGATTTTTTGAAATTAAAAAAAAAAAAAAAAAATTTTGTTAATGAAAATTTTTGTTATTGTTTGTGACGAGCATTGCCTATAGTATATATTGTTAAGAAGAAAATTTGCAACAACTTTTGTTCTAAAAGTTTTTTGATAACATGCTCCGATTTCCAAATGTTACCATTAACTAATAGTGGAATAAAAAATTCATCAATTTTTTAATTTTCACATTTTTCTCAATATTGACGCATCTGAAAACAAAAATATAAGAGAGCAATATTGTTAAGAACAAAATTTACAAAAACTTTTGTTCTAAAAGTTTTTTGATAACATGCTTTGATCCCCAAATATTACCATAAGCTAATAGTAAAACAAAAAATTCATAAAATTTTTAAATTTTCGTATTTTTCTCAATATTGACGCATCTGAGAGCAAAAATACAAAAGAGTAATATTGTTAATAACAAAATTTTCAACAACTTTTGTTCCAAAAATTTTTTGGTAACATGCTCCGATTTCCAAATGTTACCATTAGTTAATAATAAAAGAAGGAAATTCATCAAATGTTTAAATTTTCGTATTTTTCTCAATATTGACGCATCTGAGAGCAAATATACAAGAGAGCAATATTGTTAACAATAAAATTTGCTATAACTTTTGTACCAAAAGTATTTTTGTAATATACTTCGATTTCTGAATATTATCATTAGCTAATAGAAAAACAAGGAAATTCATCAGATTTTTTAATTTTTTACAATATTGACGAATCTGAGAGCAAAAATACAACAAAGCAATATTGTTAAGAACAATATTTGCAACAACTTTTGTTCTAAAAATTTTTTGATAACATGCTCCGATTTCCAAATGTTACCATTAGCTAATTGTAAAACAAAAAAAAATAAAATTTTTGAATTTTGGTATTTTTCCCAAAATTGAATCATCTGAGAGCAAAAACACAAGAGAGCAATATTGTTAATAACAAAATTTGCAACAACTTTTGTTCTAAAAATTTTTTGATAACATGCTCCAATTCCAAAATGTTACCATTAACTAATAATAAAACAAAAATTCATCAATTTTTTAAATTTTCGCATTTTTCTCAATATTGACGCATTTAAGAGCAAAAATACAAGAGAGCAATTTTGTTAAGAATAAAATTTGCAACAATTTTTGTACAAAAAATTTTTTTATAACATGCTTTGATTCCCGAATATTACCATAAGCTAATAGTAAAACAAGGAAATTAACGAAATTTTAAATTTTCGTTTTTTTTTCAAAATTGACGCATCTAAGGGTAAAAATACAAGAGAGCAATATTGTTAATAATAAAATTTACAACAATTTTTGTTCTAAAAGTTTTTTTATAACACGCTTTGATTCTCAAATATTACCATCAATAACTTGTAAATAACAAATTTTATTACGCCAAGGTGAACCAATTAAATTTCGACCAACAAATAATCAAACCACTTCGAAGTTAAAAAACCAATTTAATCGTTTATTATTATAAATTTATAAACTCAAAATGATAAAATTAACGAAAAATATATAAAAAAAATCAACAAAAAATAGAAATCACACTTTCGATTTTAATTTCTTCCGCTTCCTCGCCACCTTATCCATCTTCCTCTCTTCGCTTATAAACCTCATGTTTCGTTTATTCCTTTTCGGGCCTTTCAAAAACGGATTCGGCTTGGTAAAGTTATGAACTCTAAAAATCCCCGGGCCTCGACTCGTCCCGGGATCCCCCGTTAAATATTTCGGCATAATCGACTTTTGCGAAAAAACCTGCGCTTGCGAATTCGCGCCGTTCCAAGCGACGATTAAGTTGTCTTCGATCAAAGGGGACGAGTCCGTTTTGTTGTATTTCGCGATCACTTTCTTCCCTTCGCCGTCTTTTATAAAACAAATCTCTTTCAATTGGACTCGATTCCCCTCGTCTTCGCTTTTAGGTTCTTGAACGCTTTTTAATTTCAATTTTTGTTCCGGTTTTGGAGCTTTGCTCCGATTCAATGGGGCTTGAATTCCTTTTGATTTGACTTCGTTGGGGCGATTCATTTTTGATTGGATTTCTTTTCGGACTCTCGTGAATGCGGCGTTGTTTTGGCGAGCCGTTGTTATTACTTTATTACCTTTTTTAGATGTGGTACACGTTATGCTCACATCACTCTCTGCGTGGGAGCAACTNTACAAGAAAGCAATATTGTTAAGAACAAAATTTGCAACAATTTTTGTTCTAAAAGTTTTTTGATAACATGCTCCGATTTCCAAATGTTACCATTAGCTAATAGTAAAACTAGAAAATTTATCAATTTTTTAAATTTTCGTATTTTCTCAATATTGACGCATCTGAGAGCGAACATACAAGAGAGCAATATTGTTAAGAACAAAATTTGCAACAACTTTTGTTTTAAAAAATTTTTGATAACATGCTCCGATTTCCAAATGTTACAATTAACTAATAGTAAAATTAAAAATTCATCAAATTTTTAAATTTTCGTATTTTTCACAATATTGACGCATCTGAGAGCAAAAATATAAGAGAGCAATATTGTTAACAACAAAATTTCCAACAACTTTTGTTATGAAAATTTTTTGATAACATACTTCAATTTCCAAATGTTACCATCAACTAATAGTGGAACAAAAAATTCATAAAATTTTTAAATTTTCGCATTTTTCTCAATATTGACGCATCCAAGAGTAAAAATACAACAGAGCAATATTGTTAATAACTAAATTTGCAACAACTTTTGTTCTAAAAGTTTTTTGATAACATTCTGCGATTTCCAAATATTACCATTAGCTTATAGTAAAACAAGAAAATTCATCAATTTTTTAAATTTTCGTATTTTTCTCAATATTGACGCATCCAAGAGTAAAAATACAACAGAGCAATATTGTTAAACAACTTTTGTTCTGAAAGTTTTTTGATAACATTCTGCGATTTCCAAATATTACCATTAGCTTATAGTAAAACAAGAAAATTCATCAATTTTTTAAATTTTCGTATTTTTCTTAATATTGACGCATATAAGAGCAAAAATACAAGAGAGCAATATTGTTAAGAACAAGATAAGCAACAAGTTTTGTTCTAAAAGTTTTTTGATAACATGCTCCAATTCCCAAATGTTACCATTAGCTAATAGTGGAACAAAAAATTCATCAAATTTTTAAATTTTCGCAATTTTCTCAATATTGACTGATTTGAGAGCAAATATACAAGAGAGCAATATTGTTAATAATAAAATTTGCAATAACTTTTGTTCTAAAAATTTTTTGATAACATTCTCCGATTTTTAAATGTTACCATTAGCTAATAATAAAACAAAAAATTAATGAAATTTTTAAATTTTCGATATTGACGCATCTGAGAGCAAAAATACAATAGAGCAATATTGTTAAGAATAAGATAAGCAACAACTTTTGTTTGAAAAATTTTTTGATAACATGCTCTGATTTCCAAATGTTACCATTAGCTAATAGAAAAATTAAAAATTCATAAAATTTTTTAATTTTCATATTTTTCTCAATATTGACGCATCTGAGAGCAAAAATATAAGAAAACAATATTATTAAGAATAAAATTTGCTATAACTTTTGTTTTAAAAGTTTTTTGATAACATGCTCCGATTCTCAAATGTTACCATTAACTAATAGTGGAACAAAAAATTCATCAATTTTTTAAATATTCGTATTTTTCTCAATATTGACGCATCTTAATGCAAATATACAAGAGAGCAATATTGTTAATAACGAAATTTGCTACAACTTTCGTTCTAAAAGTTTTTTGATAACATGCTTCGATTCCCAAATGTTACCATTAACTAATCGTAAAACAAGAAATTTCATCAAATTTTCATATTTTTATAGTTTTCTCGATATTTCGAAATTTCAGTAATATGATCTTATAATTTTTGTATGATATCATAAACTAGAATCTTTAAGCTACAATTTAACATACATATCATATCATTATTCATAAAAATACAGTAGATATGATTTTTTGAAAATTTCCCATTTTTTGAAAACAGATCTCAGCAATCTAGATTTATTATTTTTTCTAGATTCTTCAGAGATGTTGCTAGTTTATTTCGATATAACAAACCATCACAATCTTATTTCACACTTTCATTATATATAAAAAAATAAAAATTAAATTAAAATCAATGGACATTGATATGCCTCAATTACTTCACATTAATCATTCTTCGATTATAGCCTAATTTTATTCAACCAGTCACTTTTTTAATCTTAATTAACCGAAATAACACATTTTTTAATCATTTTAACAAGCACCACATTAAAATTCAGCAATTTTCCAAATTTTCGTATTTTTCTCAATATTGACGCATCTGAGAGCAAATATATAAGAGAGCAATATTGTTAAGAACAAAATTTGCTACAACTTTTGTTCTAAAAGTTTTTTGATAACATGCTCCGATTCCCAAATGTTACCATTGGCTAATAGTAAAATTCGGAGATTCATCAAATTTTCGTATTTTTCTCGATATTGACGTACCTAAGAGCAAATATACAAGAGAGCAATATTGTTAATAACAAAATTAACAACTTTTGTTGTAACAATTTTTTGATAACATGTTCCGATTTCCAAATGTTACTATTAGCTAATAGTAAAACAAGAAAATTCATCAAATTTTTAAATTTTCGTATTTTTCTCAATTTTGACGCATCTAAGAGCAAAAATTTAAGAGAGCAATATTGTTAAGAAGAAAGTTTGCAACAACTTTTGTTCTAAAATTTTTTTGATAACATGCTCCAATTCCAAAATGTTACCATTAACTCATAGTGGAACAAAAAATACATCAAATTTTTAAATTTTCGCATTTTTCTCAATATTGACGAATCTGAGAGCAAAAATACAAGAGAGCAATATTGTTAATAACAAAATTTGCAACAACTTTTGTTCTAAAAGTTTTTTGATAACATGCTCCGATTTAAAAATGTTACCATTAGCTAATAATAAAACAAGGATATTCGTCAAATTTTTAAATGTTTGTATTTTTCTCAATATTGGCGCATCTAAGAATAAAAATACAAGAGAACAATATTGTTAAGAACAAGATAAGCAACAACTATTGTTCAAAAAGTTTTTTGATAACATGCTCCAATTTCCAAATGTTACCATTAGCTAATAATAAAAGAAGGAAATTCATAAAATTTTTAAATTTTCGTATTTTTCTCAATATTGACGCATCTGAGAGCAAATATATAAGAGAGCAATATTGTTAAGAACAAAATTTGCTACAACTTTTGTTCTAAAAGTTTTTTGATAACATGCTCCGATTCCCAAATGTTACCATTGGCTAATAGTAAAATTCGGAGATTCATCAAATTTTCGTATTTTTCTCGATATTGACGTACCTAAGAGAAAATATACAAGAGAGCAATATTGTTAATAACAAAATTAACAACTTTTGTTGTAACAATTTTTTGATAACATGTTCCGATTAACAAATGTTACTATTAGCTAATAGTAAAACAAGAAAATTCATCAAATTTTTAAATTTTCGTATTTTTCTCAATTTTGACGCATCTAAGAGCAAAAATTTAAGAGAGCAATATTGTTAAGAAGAAAGTTTGCAACAACTTTTGTTCTAAAATTTTTTTGATAACATACTCCAATTCCAAAATGTTACCATTAACTCATAGTGGAACAAAAAATACATCAAATTTTTAAATTTTCGCATTTTTCTCAATATTGACGAATCTGAGAGCAAAAATACAAGAGAGCAATATTGTTAATAACAAAATTTGCAACAACTTTTGTTCTAAAAGTTTTTTGATAACATGCTCCGATTTAAAAATGTTACCATTAGCTAATAATAAAACAAGGATATTCGTCAAATTTTTAAATGTTTGTATTTTTCTCAATATTGGCGCATCTAAGAATAAAAATACAAGAGAACAATATTGTTAAGAACAAGATAAGCAACAACTATTGTTCAAAAAGTTTTTTGATAACATGCTCCAATTTCCAAATGTTACCATTAGCTAATAATAAAAGAAGGAAATTCATAAAATTTTTAAATTTTCGTATTTTTCTCAATATTGACGCATCTGAGAGCAAATATACAAGAGAGCAATATTGTTAAGAACAAAATTTGCTACAACTTTTGTTATAAAATTTTTTTGATAACATGCTCCAAATCCGAAATGTTACCATTAACACTAGTAAAATAAAAAAATTCGTCAAATTTTCATATTTTCGTATTTATCTCAATATTAACGCATCTGAGAGCAAATATACAAGAGAGCAATATTGTTAAGAAGAAAATTTGCAACAACTTTTGTTCTAAAAATTTTTTGATAACATGCTCCGATTCCTAAATGTTGCCATTGGCTAATTACTTTATTGTTTTTGCGCGTCGATACATCCGCTTTGTACCAATAAAGGCTGTATATTTCATAATTTGATTAAACTAATAAAAGTGGGGAAAAAGAATGAAATTATTCATATCGCTGTTTCAATTTCTGTACTAAAAAGTGATGTGAAAACATTCCTACTAAGCAAATAATGGCCATTAAGAAACTAATCGAATTCTTACTCTAAAACGATATTAGATTAATTCAAAAACGTGTCAAAATAAATTTAATCCTTACCGGAACAAATTTTGCAATAGCCATGATAACACAAAATGAAGTGCAAAGTTTTGTGGGTACAAAAAATGTGCTGAGGAAACTATTAAGGGATTTAAACATTCTAAAATGTATTATTAATTAATAAAAATAATAAAATTAATTAACCTTCGAGCGGACGCGCTGTCAAAAAATTTATAACAATTTTCAATTTATTTTCAATTTTCATATTTTCGTATCTATCTCGATATTGACGTATCTAAGAGCAAAAGTGCAAGAGAGCAATATTGTTAACAATCAAATTTGCTACAACTGTTGTTATAAAAGTTTTTTGATAACATGCTCTGATTTCCAAATGTTACCATTAGCTAATAGTAAAACAAGCAAATTCATCAAATTTTTAAATTTTTGAATTTTTCTTAATATTGACAAATCTGAGAGCAAATATACAAGAGAGCAATATTGTTAAGAATAAGATAAGCACCAACTTTTGTTGTAAACATTTTTTGATAACATGCCCCGATTTCCAACTGTTACCATTAGTTAATAATAAAACAAGGAAATTCATGAAATTTTTAAATTTTCGTATTTTTCTCAATATTGACGCATCTGAGAGTAAAAATGTAACAGAGCAATATTGTTAAGAACAAAATTTGGTACAACTTTTGTTCTAAAAGTTTTTTGATAACATGCTTTGATTCCCAAATATTGCCATGAGCTAATAGTAAAATAAGGAAATTCATGAAATTTTTAAATTTTGGTATTTTTCTCAATATTGACGCATCTGAGAGCAAAAATTTAAGAGAGCAATATTGTTAATAACAAAATTTGCAACAACTTTTGTTCTAAACATTTTTTTACAACATGCTCCAATTTTCAAATGTTATCATTAGCTAATAGTAAAACAAGGAAATTCACCAATTTTTTAAATTTTTCTCAATATTGACGCATCTGAGAGCAAAAATATAAGAGAGCAATATTGTTAAGAACAAAATTTGCAACAACTTTTGTTCTAAAAGTTTTTTTATAACATGCTCCGATTTCCAAATGTTACCATTAGCTTATAGTAAAACAAGAAATTTCATCAATTTTTTAAATTTTCGCATTTTTTTTATATTGACGCATTTGAGAGCAAAAATATAAGAGAGCAATATTGTTAATAATAAAATTTGCAACAATTTTTGTTCTAAAAGTTTTTTGATAACATGGTTCAATTCTCATATGTTACCATTAACTAATAGTGGAACAAAAAATTCATCAAATTTTTAAATTTTCGCATTTTTCTCAATATTGACGCATCTGAGAGCAAAAATATAAGAGAGCAATATTGTTAAGAACAAAATTTGCAACAATTTTTGTTCTAAAAGTTTTTTTATAACATGCTTTGATTCCCAAATATTACCATGGGCTATTAGTAAAATAAGGAAATTTATGAAATTTTTAGATATTCGTATTTTTCTCGAAATTGACGCATTTAAGGGCAAAAATACAAGAGAGCAATTTTGTTAAGAATAAAATTTGCAACAATTTTTGTTCTAAAAGTTTTTTTGTAACATGCTCCGATTTCCAAATATTACCATCAATAACTTGTAAATAACAAATTTTATTACGTCAAAGTGGACCAACCAACAAACAATCAAACCAATTTGAAGTTAAAAAACCAATTTAATCGTTTATTATTATAAATTTATAAACTCAAAATGATAAAATCAACGAAAAATATATAAAAAAAAAATCAACAAAAAAGTTAACAAAAAATAGAAATCACACTTTCGATTTTAATTTCTTCCGCTTCCTCGCCACCTTATCCATCTTCCTCTCTTCGCTTATAATCCTCATGTTTCGTTTATTCCTTTTCGGGCCTTTCAAAAACGGATTCGGCTTGGTAAAGTTATGAACTCTAAAAATCCCCGGGCCTCGACTCGTCCCGGGATCCCCCGTTAAATATTTCGGCATAATCGACTTTTGCGAAAAAACCTGCGCTTGCGAATTCGCGCCGTTCCAAGCGACGATTAAGTTGTCTTCGATCAAAGGGGACGAGTCCGTTTTGTTGTATTTCGCGATCACTTTCTTCCCTTCGCCGTCTTTTATAAAACAAATCTCTTTCAATTGGACTCGATTCCCCTCGTCTTCGCTTTTAGGTTCTTGAACGCTTTTTAATTTCAATTTTTGTTCCGGTTTTGGAGCTTTGCTCCGATTCAATGGGGCTTGAATTCCTTTTGATTTGACTTCGTTGGGGCGATTCATTTTTGATTGGATTTCTTTTCGGACTCTCGTGAATGCGGCGTTGTTTTGGCGAGCCGTTGTTATTACTTTATTACCTTTTTTAGATGTGGTACACGTTATGCTCACATCACTCTCTGCGTGGGAGCAACTTGGGTGCTCATCTTCGAATTCTTTCGGCCCCAACTTGTCTTTAACGCGATTTGCAGGAACGCTCGTCGAGCGAATCGTGTTTTTTAACAACCTCTTTTGAATCGGAGTCGCTTTCGTGCTTAAAGAGCGAGATTTTACCGCATTTTTCCCCTTTCCCTACAGAAATAATCGGAATTTTAATACTCTTTTACCTCTAATAATCATTTTATACCATCCATTACTTCTCCTCCAATTCATTTAATTCATTTATTTCATTTAAATTATTTAAATTATATTTTTAATCCAAACTTACCTTCTTGTAATGGATAATATATTTTTATAATAATAATAATAATAAAAAAAAAGAAATAAATCGATTAAAATCTTTAATACACATAAAAAAACTCTATATATCTTAAATCACAAACAAATTAATTAACTTTATCATTTTTATCATAAAAAAAAGAAGCTTTAAGTAACCCAACACTGCCTAATGGTGCCTTCACCATTGCCAGTGTTGAATCCGCAGATCTGTAGTTGAGGGCCTACCTGGTTATGTGGTGATTTCTTCTCGCGGAACTCGTTGGAGTGAGTCCTGAGCCACTCGCGGAGGCCGCTTAAGGAATGGAATTCGGAGGCGGGTAGCCGCGACATGGGGTTTTGTCCGGAGAGGTCTAAAATTGCGCCGCCTAAAGCTCGGCCGACCTAAAAATGAAAAATATCTCGATATTGACGCATCTGGGAGGAAAAATGCAAGAGGACGATATTGTTAAGAAGGAAATTTGCTACAATTTTTGTTCTAAAAGTTTTTTGATAGCATGCTTTAATTCGCGAATGTTACCATTAATTAATGTAAAATAAAAAATTTGTAAAATTTTTTAATTTTTGTGTTTATCTCGATATTGATGAGTTTGAGAGCAAAAATGAAAGAGAGAGATATTGTTAATAAGAAAATTTGCTACAACTTTTGTTCTAAAAGTTTTTTGATAACTTGCTCCGATTTCTAAATGTTACCATGAGCTAATACTAAAACAAGGAAATTCATCAAATTTTTAATTTTCTTCAATATTGACGCATCTGAGAGCAAAAATACAAGAGAGCAATATTGTTAAGAACAAAATTTGCAACAACTTTTGTTCTAAAAGTTTTTTGGTAACATATTCCGATTTCCAAATGTTACCATTAGCTAATAGTAAAACAAGAAAATTCATCAATTTTTTAAATTATCGTATTTTTCTCAATATTGACGCATCTGAGAGCAAAAATACAAGAGAGCAATATTGTTAAGAATAAAATTTGCAACAACTTTAGTTCTAAAAATTTTTTGATAACATGCTCCGATTTCCAAATGCTACCATTAGCTAATAGTAAAACAAGAAAATTTATTAAATTTTTAAATTTTCGAATTTTTCTCAATATTGACGCATCTGAGAGCAAAAATATATGAGAGCAATATTGTTAATAACAAAATTTGCAACAACTTTTGTTTTAAAAATTTTTTGATAGCATGCTCCAATTCCCAAATGTTACTATTAACTAATAGTGGAACAAAAAATTCATCAAATTTTTAAATATTCGCATTTTTCTCAATATTGACGCATCTGAGAGCAAAAATACAAGAGAACAATATTGTTAAGAATAAAATTTGCTACAATTTTTGTTCTAAAAGTTTTTTGATAACATGCTTCAATTCCCAAATGTTACCATTAGCTAATAGTAAAATAAAAAATTCATCAAATTTTTAAATTTTTCTCAATATTGACGCATCTCAGAGCAAAAATACAAGAGAGCAATATTGTTAAGAATAAGATAAGCAACAACTTTTGTTATAAAAATTTTTTTATAACATGCTCCGATTTCCAAATGTTACCATTGCCATAAGAGCAATGATTGACGCATCTGAGATCAAATATACAAGAGAGCAATATTGTTAAGAATAAGATAAGCAACAACTTTTGTTCTAAAATTTTTTTGATAATATGCTCCGATTTCCAAATGTTACCATTAGCTAATAGTGGAACAAGAAAATTCATCAATTTTTTAAATTTTCGTATTTTTCTCAATATTGACACATCTGAGAGCAAATATACAAGAGAGCAATATTGTTAATAAGAAAATTTGCAACAACTTTTGTTCTAAAAATTTTTTGATAACATTCTCCGATTCCGAAATGTTACCATTAGCTAATAATAAAATAAAAAATTCATCAAATTTTTAAATTTTCGTATTTTCCTCGATAACTATGCATCTGAGAGCAAATATACAGGAAAGCAATATTGTTAAGAACAAAATTTGCAACAAGTTTTGTTCTAAAAATTTTTTTATAACATGCTTCAATTCCCAAATGTTATCATTAACACCAGTAAAACAAAAAATTCATAACGAGACATGGTTGGAAGCATCAAGGGTGGTGAGAGTGAAGTTGTTAGAGGGAATGAATAGCGTATGGAGAGGGGGTGGGATTTCGGAGGGATGGAAAGTGGGGGTAATTTGCCCAGTATATAAAAAGGGTAGAGAGAATTAACCTACTAGACTCGGCATACAAGAGTTGGAGATGGAGGCAGGCAGGCTTTCGGAAGGGAAGGGGAGCAATCTACAACGTGTACGTGTTGAAGCATCTGGCAGATAGAGAGCTGGATAAGAAGGGAGGGAAATTCTACGCCCTGTTTATAGATTTGAAGGCGGCTTTTGATAAGGTGGATAGGGGAAAGTTGTGGGAGGAGATGGGGAGGAGGGGGATCACGGAACACCTAATTGCGAGAGTGAAGGAAATATACATGGAGACTATGGCTACAATAAAAGTGGGAGATAAGCTGAGCGACGTGTTCTGGACGACGAAGGGACTGGAGGATAGATTGGGGAAAGGACAAATGGGAGGGTTCGTGGTGGGAGGTAGAAAGGTACATATGTTAGCATACGCGGATGACATCGTGGTCATGGCGAGAGAAGCGGCGGAGATGAAGGATATGATAAAGACATTGGAAAGATATTTTAGGGGGAAGGGGCTGGAAGTGAATGTGAGGAAGACAAGGATGATGAAGTTTTGTAAGGGGGGGAGAAAAAGAACAGAAAACTGGAGGGAAATTAGAGAGGAAAAGATTAGATATGGGAAAGGAGACAGAGATAACTTTTATAGACGAGCGGGCTACTCGGTAACTGAGATTAATAGTAGACGAAGGGTGGGTAAGGAAAGGTGGAGGGAGTTGAGAGATAGGGACCGAGATGTGCAGAGACAGGAAAGAAGGACACAAATAAAAGAGGGAAGGTATAACGAAAGGTACAGGGACTTAATTACGGAGGGGCTGCCTAGATACTTGTTATTGGAAGGAGATGAGGAAGGGAAGAAGTTCCGTTGTGGAAACGAGGAGAGAGCTAACAGATACTGGATGGCCGATGAGGAGAGGTAGTGTAGGCTATGCAGAGAGGAATGAGAAACGCTATGCAGTGAGTTGAGGAAAACAAGGAAAAACATCAAATTCTTAAATTTTAGTATTTTTCTCAATGTTGACGCATCTGAGAGCAAATATACAAGAGAGCAATATTGTTAAGAACAAAATTTGCAGCAACTTTTGTTCTAAACATTTTTTGATAATATGCTCCGATTTGCGAATGTTATCATTAGCTAATAGTAAAACAAGAAAATTCATTAAATTTTCAAATTTTTGTATTTTTCTTAATATTGACGCATCTGAGAGCAAATATACAAGAGAGCAATATTGTTAATAACAAAATTTGCTACAACATTTGTTCTAAAAATTTTTTGATAACATGCTTCATTCCCGAATGTTACCATTAATTAGTAGTAAAACAAAAAATTCATCAAATTTTTAAATTTTTGTACTTTTCTCAATATTGACGTATCTGAGAGCAAATATACAAGAGAGCAGTATTCTTAAGAACAAAATTTGCAGCAACTTTTGTTCTAAAAATTTTTTGATAACATGCTCCGATTTCCAAATGTTATCATTAGCTAATAGTAAAACAAGCAAATTCATCAAATTTTCAAATTTTTGTATTTTTGTTAATATTGACGCATTTAAGAGCAAATATACAAGAGAGCAATATTGTTAAGAATAAGATAAGCAATAACTTTCGTCCCAAAAGTTTTTTTTATAACATGCTCCAATTTAAAAGTGTTACCATTAACAATTTGTAAAACAAAAAATTCATCAAATTTTCTTATTTTCGTATTTTTCTCGATATTGACGCATCTGAGAGCAAAAATGCAAGAGAGCAATGTTGTTAATAACAAAATTTGCAACAACTTTTGTTCTAAAAGTTTTTTGATAACTTGCTTCGATTACCAAATGTTATCATTGGCTAATAGTAAAACGAGGAAATTCATCAAATTTTCGTATTTTTCTCAATATTGACGCATCTGAGAGCAAATATACAAGAGAGCAATATTGTTAATAACAAAATTTGCAACAACTTTTGTTCTAAAAGTTTTTTGATAACATGCTCCGATTTCCAAATGTTACCTTAAGCTAATAGTAAAACAAGGAAATTCATTAAATTTTTAAATTTTTCTCAATATTGACGCATCTGAGAGCAAAAATACAAGAGAGTAATATCGTTAAGAATAAAATTTGCAAGAACTTTTGTTCTAAAAGTTTTTTGATAACATTCTCCGATTCCGAAATGTTACCATTAGCTGATAATAAACTAAAAAATTCATAAAATTTTTAAATTTTCGTATTTTTCTCAATATTGACGCATCTGAGAGCAAAAATACAAGAGAGCAATATTGTTAATAACAAAATTTGCAACAACTTTTGTTCTAAAAGTTTTTTAATAACATGCTTCAATTCCCAAATGTTACCATTAGCTAATAGTAAAACAAGAAAATTCATCAAATTTTTAAATTTTCGTATTTTTTCAATATTGATGCAACTGAGAGCAAAAATACAAGAGAACAATATTGTTAAAAACAAAATTTGCAACAACTTTTGTTCTAAACATTTTTTGATAACACACTCCGTTTTCCAAATGTTACCATTAGCTAATAGTAAAACAAGAAATTTCATCAAATTTTAAAATTTTTAAATTTGATGAATATTAATCTAGGGACTTTATAACTAAATTAAAGTCCCTAGATTTACAAAGTACCGCGGTTTGCCGCCATATTGGCTTGAAAGTCAAGCGGGAAATTTAAAACTATGTCGTTCTATAGATAACATTACGCCACAACTCCTTTCTCTTTTCTCGTGGTACTCTTAAGAGTCGAAACTACTACGAGTACTACTATTTTTGCAACTCCAAAGGCAATAAGCCGGCAATATTTTTGTAAATAAGTGGTGAGATGCGGTGACAAGTTGTCAAACCGCCATTTTGGCGCGAAAAGAGGCGTCATGAACCGCGGTACTTTGTAAATCTAGGGACTTTAAACTAAATGTCATTAAAGCGCCATCTGTTGTTATCAACCCATATGTCTATAGAAAAATTGACCGTTCACCAAATCACCAACGCAATCATCGATTCCCAAATGTTACCATTAGCTAATAGGAAATAAAATAAAATAAGGAAATTCATCAAATTTTAAAATTTTTGTATTTTTCTCAATATTGACGAATCTGAGAGCAAATATGCAAGAGAGCAATATTGTTAAGAACAAAATTTGCAACAACTTTTGTTCTAAAAAATTTTTGATAACATGCTTCAATTCCCAAATGTTACCATTAACTAATAGTAAAACAAAAAATTCATCAAATTTTCAAATTTTTCTCAATATTGACGCATCTGAGACAAATATACAAGAGAGCAATATTGTTAAGAAGAAAATTTGCAACAACTTTTGTTCCAAAAATTATTTGATAACATTCTCCGATTCCGAAATGTTACCTTTAGCTAATAATAAAACAAGAATTTCATCAATTTTTTAAATTTTCGTACTTTTGTCAATATTGACGCATCTGAGAGCAAAAATACAAGAGAACAATATTGTTAAGAACAAAATTTGCAACAACTTTTGTTCTAAAAATTTTTTGATAACATACTTCAATTCCCAAATTTTATCATTAGCTAATAGTAAAACAAAAAATTTATCAAATTTTTAAATTTTTCTCAATATTGATGCATTTGAGAGCAAAAATACAAGAAGCAATATTGTTAAAAATAAAATTAGCAACAAATTTTGTTCTAAAAATTTTTTTGATAACATGCTCTGATTTCCAAATGTTACCATTAGCTAATAGTAAAACAAAAAATTTATCAAATTTTGAAATTTTCGTATTTTTCTCAATATTGACGCATCTGAGAGCAAAAATATAAGAGAGCAATATTGTTAAGAACAAAATTTGCAATAACTTTTGTTCCAAAAATTTTTTGATAACATTCTCTGATTTCCAAATGTTATCATTAGCTAATAGTAAAACAAGCAAATTCATCAAATTTTCGTATTTTTCTCAATATTGACGCATCTGAGACAAATATACAACAGAGCAATATTGTTAATAAGAAAATTTGTAACAACTTTTGTTCTAAACATTTTTTGATAACATGCTCCGATTTTCAAATGTTACTATTAGCTAATAGTAAAACAAGAAAATTTATCAATTTTTTAAATTTTTGTATTTTTCTCAATATTGACACATCTGAGAGCAAATATACAAAAGAGCAATATTATTAATAACAAAATTTGCAACAACTTTTGTTCCAAAAATTTTTTGATAACCTTCTCCGATTCCGAAATATTACCATTAGTTAATAATAAAACAAGAATTTCATCAATTTTTTAAAGTTTCGTAATTTTCTCAATATTGACGCATCTGAGAGCAAAAATACAAGAGAGCAATATTGTTAAGTACAAAATTTGCAACAACTTTTGTTATAAAAATTTTTTGATAACATTCTCCGATTCCGAAATATTACCATTAGCTAATAATAAAACAAGAATTTCATCAATTTTTTAAATTTTTCTCAATATCGACGCATCTGACAGCAAAAATAGAAGAGAGCAATATTGTTAATAAGAAAATTTGCAACAACTTTTGTTCTAAAAATTTTTCGATAAGATTGTCCAATTCCGAAATATTACCATTAACTAATAGCAAAAAAAAATTCATCAAATTTTTAAATTTTCGCATTTATCTCAATATTGACGCATTCGAGAGCAAAAACACAAGAGACCAATATTATTAAGAACAAAATTTGCAACAACTTTCGTCCTAAAAATTTTTCGATAACATTCTCCGATTCCCAAATATTACTATTAATTAAAAGCAAAACAAAAAACTCACCTCCTCAAATATAACCGGATTATACTTAGGCGGCACCGGCAACACATGCGCCGCCTTACAATTCGACTCCCGTATCGTAGGGGGCAAAATATTCACAAAATTCCCCGTATTATAATTACACTCCAACGTATAACTCCTTATCAACCCCGTCATTTTTAAAACGGCCACTCTCCCCGATCCCTCTCTACTCATCCCATCGCGTTTATCCCTAGAATAAAACAAAATAAGTAACGAGTATGCAACCACCATCACAAACCGCGTGTTAATAAACGAGAGATGTAAAGGTGGTTGCATAAAATAAAACAGACTTACTTTAAATACATATTTCTTTCGGTGAAATTACACGAGGTGAAATGAAAATTATGGTTATTAAGCGCCATTAATTTGGGGAGCAGCATGCATTCGACGTTGCGGTCCAAATCTTGAAAATGATTACCATACATGAAAATCCCCTTTTTTGAGGCGTGCCCATGCATGTCCATATAGAGATATAACCCGGAATTTAAGTCTTGGAGGGGGTAATCCGGGTGGGGTTTGATATCGCCCTCTCCGATTTTGTTCCGATTAATTTCTTGAGGCGATTTTTTCGCTTTCACATCGAAGGTGCTACTAGCATTTGAAGGGGACGAATCAACACCCCCTGAAGACTCCGAATCGCTATAAACATCATCTAACTCCGCGCCATGGTGATAATAACGCAACAAAGATCGAGCTGCGAAAATCGAGGGGTGCAGCTCTAAATTGGGTTTTAAATAAACCCGGTTTAGATTCACCCCCCTCGTGTCAGTGCGATAATGCCCCTTGGCCACCCCGTCGGGGTTCAAACACGGGATTAATTTAAAAACATAATTTCGACGCAACATAATCGCCATGGGGTCATCGCGGGAGGTTAGGAGGTTTAAAAATCCGTTAAATACGAAACTTGAGGGTGTTTCCCCCGGATGGACCCTCGCTGAAATAAAAATGATCTAAAAAAATTTTTTTTAAATCGTGATTTTTTTTAATATTTACTTTTTTTGAGATAAATTTGAACGGTCTGGGTTTGTGATGTTCTGGGAATAAGTTTTTTAGGCGCATCTCTCGTTCGATGCTGATGTTGTGGTACGATGAGATTGTTATTAAATCGATTCGGCGAGCTTCTAAAGAGTTGCAAAGACACTCCCTTACGTAATAAATGTCGTCTTTGCTGATGGGGTGATGCAACGAGAATCGACTGTCGGTTATGGTGAGGCTGTTTTGGATGTCTGTGTATGAAAAGGGGTAGGTGAAGGCGAAATAAGATACGCTTTGGGGGTTCTCAGGGGTTCTGTATTTGAAGCTGAGGGTGAATACTTCATCGTTCTGGAAAATTAAAAATTTTTTTATTTTTAAGTGGGGTGCAAAAAATTCTTACAGAGTAAGTTGGTTTATCTCTGATTCGTTCCCAGTGGGGTTTTCCGGGTAAGACGCGAAAAACGGGAGCCATGCCTTGGCTGTATATTTTTAATTGTTTGTTTAAATCGACGATGTTTAATTTGGTTAGGATTCCTGGGGCGTTTGCTGAAACAAAAAATTCTTAAATTTTCCTATTTTTCTCGATATTGACGCATCTGAGAATAAAAATACAAGAGAGCAATATTGTTAAGAAGAAAATTTGCAACAACTTTTCTTCTAAACATTTTTTGATAGCATGCTCCGATTTCCAAATGTTACCATTAGCTAATAGTAAAACAAGGAAATTCGTCAAATTTTTAAATTTTCGTATTTTTCTCAATATTGACGCATCTGAGAGCAAAAATATAAGAGAGCAGTATTGTTAAGAACAAAATTTGCAACAACTTTTGTTCTAAAAGTTTTTTGATAACATGCTTTGTTTCCCGAATGTTACCATTAGGTAATAGTAAAACAAGGAAATTCATCAATTTTTAAAATTTTTGTATTTTTTTCGATATTGACGCATCTGAGAGCAAAAATACAAAAGAGCAATATTGTTAACAAGAAAATTTGCAACAACTTCTATTCTAAAAGTTTTTTGATAACTTGCTTCAATTCCCGAATGTTACCATTAACTAATAGTAAAATAAAGAAATTTATCAAATTTTTAAATTTTTCTCAATATTGACGCATCTGAGAGCAAAAATATAAGAGAGCAATATTGCTCAGTACACAGTTTGCTAC